TGTAACCTTGATGCTAGATGGACATGACTCTCGAGCTACGTACATTAATGGTGGAGATAGGTCTATGTTCTACTCCTACAAGTTTAAGAAATCTGGATTCCGAACTCAAGTGTGCATAGATGTAAATGGGATGGTCTTGTTTGTTTCGAAGAGTATGCCTTGTGCTACTAACAACGATGGTTCCATGCTTGCTAGTTTAAACCTTAAAGGTAAAGTTGGCAAGTACGATTGTATTGCTCTTGACGGTGGCTATAATCTATTCATAGACCGTGTAATAGATACTAATCCTTATCTTGGCAAACACAGCTTTGTCTTCCCTGTTCGTAAACAACGTGGCGTGGATTTAACAACAGATGAAGCAAAGTATAATAGGGTATTTGGTAGCTTCCGTTCTATGATAGAATCTACGTTTGGGGATATTGGCACGCTGTTTGAGAGATTTAATGGCAAGTCTGTTATCCGTGTTACCGACATGGAGACGTTTACTATCCAGTTCAAGTTGGCATGTTGTTTGTATAATGTCAAGAGATTTGTGGAAGCTGGTAATGTATCGTACACAGAACAGCACACATTTTGGATGCAGCCAGGTTTTGACTATCCTACTGGAGCTTCTTCTCGTAGTATATATGATGTCACAGATGATACGTACACAGTATCAGATAAAGCACGAGATGCGCAAATAGTAAGTAACCTCCAACAACAGTTCCTTTTGCTCGATATTAACGATGAGGTAGATGATAGATTTTCTGAGGATGAGCAACTCTCAGACAGCCATTACGATGTGGAATGTATTGTCAAGCATCGTGGACCTAAACACCGTCGAGAATATCTGGTTAAGTGGGCTGGCTTTTCCGATGAAGAAAATTCTTGGCAAGAACCAACGGACTTCGACGACATGGCATTAGTACAAGAGTACGAAAACATGTTAGCTGCTAACCGTCGTCGATCTCGCAAGTAATGCCTCGTAATACCGTTTTTAAAACTGTGATTGGGGTGTTGAAATCCACCACGTCTTCGACACCCTGTATCATACAGTATATTACTTTACCATGAAAGTAGAAACTATTTTTGCTGATCATGATAAATACTTGAGCGATTTGTACGGCATCGATTACGTGAGTGGTGACCCCTATGAAGGCTGGTCTGACCCCGGGGCATTGTTTTGCGATAATGTTGTGTTCTGGTGTCTTATCCACTGGGTTATGGGTGCCACATCCAAGGGAGACATTAGGACGTATGTGTCGTTGATCCGCGGCCTGTTTGCTGAGTTCCTTGAGACAGTCCAATTCAAGGTCTCGGTTATTAATTCTGGACGATATAAGGAAGAGAACGATGTGTTCTCTTCTTTAATGCAACAGAAGAAGGCAAAGGAATTAGATCGACAAAGCATATCACCTGGCTATATCTCTATTAAGGTTTCTTTTGAGAACGTACTCTTTGCTGACTTGTTACCTATTCTTAAGTCTGCAGTCAAGAAGCTTGTGGGTAGCTTTGTTATTATGCATGATATGGATATTGCTGTGGATTTAGCAAGAATATCTACCCGTGCAATTATCGCAAGTTATCTTTCGTCTGTCGGAGTAGGGAAAACACGTATCGTCAATGACAGACGTTCCGTTGGTGATAACTGTATCTCGTGGTATGGATCTACTACCATTAAGAGCACAACGATAAATATTCGAGCTAAACTCTATAACAAGTTCGTACAAATGGTGGAAAGCTCAGAAATTAGATCCAAGCTTGGTTCTAAACTCTCTTATCTTGTAGCTAACACAGATCTGGATCTTGCAAAGAAACTTCAGCAATACAAGAAAGCCGGTATGACTAGATTGGAGATAACATTGTACGGCTCGAAGGTGTATAAGGAAAAGTACTATCAAGGTTTAATGGACGAGTATCTGGAACTTCTCTCGGAATG